GGGAGGGACGGTGGGGTTGGGGAGCTGGGGAGAGATAGCAAGGGAAGAAATGCCAGATGTAGGTGATGGGGAGGAAGGCAGCAAATCACACTGCCACGTGTGTACCTATGCAAAAATTTTGCATGTTCTTCACATGTACCCCCAAACCTAAAATGCAATAAAATAAATGGGGAAAAAACCAAAACAAAACAAAACAGAAAGATGTTCAACATCATTAGTCATAAGATAAATGCCTATTAAAACCACTATATTACTTTACACTTGTTAAAAGTTTGAAGAAAAAGAGCCCTAGTACACTGTTGTTGGAAATGTAGATTGGTATAACCATTACATAAAACAGTATGGAGGTTTCTAAAGAAATTAAAATATAACTACCATATGATCCACTAATCCTTCTTCGGGGTATATACTCAAAGTAGATAAAAATCACAGACTCATAAAAATGTTTGCACGCTCATGTTCATGCTCATTCCCAATAGCTGAGATATTTAAACAACTTAAATGCCCATCAACAGATGAATAGATTTTAAAATGTGATTTGTGTGTGTGTGTGTGTGTGTGTGTGTGTGTGTGTGTGTGTGTCTGTGTTATATAGCTATACAGAGCGAAATGTTATTTGGCCTTAAAAAAAAGATCTTGGCATTTGCCACAATATGAATAAATCTGGAGGACATCACACTAAGGTAAATAATCCAGACAGAAAAAAAAATATTTTGATATTCTTATATGTGGACTATATAAATAGGGGGCTAAAATAGACGAGGTAGAGAATAAAGCATTGAGGTTGGGAGAAGAAATGGGGAGATGTAGGTCAAAGGATACAAAATAGCAGATATGTAGGATGAACATGTGTAGATATCTATATGCACAGCGGGACTAAAACTGATGAAATTTTGTCATGAATTTTATTAAATCAGTATATTTTAGCTGCTATTGACACACACTTAGAAACTGAGGAGATATGCTAATCTGCTTTACCATAGTAACCATTTTAGTTTATGTATCCCATAATATCATGTTCTAAACCTCAAATATACACAGGAAAATTTCTTAAAAGTAGAAATAAAAATCTATCACACTTCTATGTACTAACATTGAACATGTGGATGTCAAAATTAAACACGTGATACTATAAGCAGTCACTTGAGAGAAAATGTCATACTGAGGTCTAAACTAAACAAAACATGGACCAGAAGGTGAGTGTAAATATTAAATATCAAAATATGTTTCTAAAATCTATACAATACAAAAACGTACCTGACTTATCCATTTTCAAAGGAAGTACAGATTATACATACATAGACGCATCCAAAAACAGGGGTGAGTGAAGCATTAAATATTGACAATGGATAAATAAATTTAAAACGTATGTCTACAAACAATATGAAACATGTATTAACACTCATACATAGAAAAGGATTCATATCAATGCATTACAATGATTGCCAATGTAGACAAGAGAAATAAAACTGGGCCATGGAAATAAATTAGAGTGAATGAGTAAATAAACAGGAGCGGGTCTTGAGCAATTAACCCAAGGAATATACCTCAGCCCTCTACGCTTGATGCCAAAACCACTCTATTGTATTCCCTCCAATAAAAACAGTATTTTTTTTTTTCCAGGGGAAGAATTCGTAATCACTGACATTCTATGGAAATGCTGGTGTATGGAAGTGGTAATAAAAATAACAACTTTAGGCCGGGCGCGGTGGCTCAAGCCTGTAATCCCAGCACTTTGGGAGGCCGAGGCGAGTGGATCACGAGGTCAAGAGATCAAGACCATCCTG